AGTGCACTTCTCAGAAGGGGGCAGCTTTGAAGTTGGCTGCTGAGGCTCACCTACCTGCGCCAGGGCTTCATCTCACCTGTGTTTGGTAAATGGCACAGTTGGTTCCCTCCAACCTGGTTCGGGACAGAGCACCTTGTATTCTGTCTCTTCTGAAACCCACCTTCCTAAGCCTTTTCAGATCCAGTGCATTTCAGTTTGCAAAGCTGATAGGTCCTTTTTAAAAGTTGTCTTTTGTGAGAAACATTGTGATGTGATATTATGATGTGTAAGTGGGAAACCTAGAAAAAAGAGGAAACAGATCAATTAGGGATAAGTCAAGGCTTAAAAACAAACAAACAGCACTGCAATAAAATGAAAATTCTCTTTCCAGGTCCTGGAACAGCGTGGGCCTGTCACAGGGAATCACAGAGTAACAGAGGGAAGTACCCTGGGGCTGAAGCAGTTGTGTGTAGGTTAAGCGAGCTGGAAGGCCCCTCGGCTCCCAGGTTCTCAAGCACCTGTCTGTCCTCTCACTTTGGAACAGCTGCTTAGGGTCAGATAAGCCGGGGCGGTGTCTGCTTTCCAGAGGCTTCTCTTACAGCAATGGCAGGTGGAAGAGGACTTCGGGGCCTTTCTACTAGTTGATGTGAGGGAACTCCCATCAGCTGCCTGGCATTGCCCCATCCTTGCAGCTCTTCTTGACCTTGCGCATCGGTTCCACACTGCAGGACCTCAACAGCTCCCAGCAGCTTGCTTCTCCTGCCTTGCTCTCCTGACCCTGAGACAGTCCTGGCTCAGGCTCTCCACTCCTCCTGATAGAGTTGATAGAGAAGTACTCTGTGCTCTCAGACCAAGAGGAGTCCTGTGAGCTGTGTGACCCTGGACAAGTTCTTTGGGGCTCACTGTATTATCTGTAAAATGGGGATGATGGTACCCAGCTGTTAGGAGAACTAAGAGAAAACGTGGGGTGTCTCAGGCTTCAGCCTGGTACTCAGTGAGTGCTCAGAAAGTACTGCTGACTATTATACATTAACATTGTGATTGCTCTTGAGGAAAAACAACAACATGATTTGGAGTGTTGATTGGGCATGGAATTCTATTGCAAGCCAAGTAAAGTATAGAGTTGGATCTTGTAAGAGGAAACCATAGAGAAAGCTGGGGTCCCCTGTTATGAGAGGTTAATTCAGTGGCATGGATGAAGTACTGGTAATATTTCAAGCCAGATAGCCATCATAATATGGAGGTCATTCATTCATGGTGACAAGTTAAGAGACATCAACTCAAAATCAGTGAAGAGTGAAGAGAAAATTACTTAAAAGATGGCAATATTAGCTGTCGGTTTTCCAATGGCATGTGAAGAAAGTTAACCACATTATGTTACCTAAAAGGGGATTCAGGCTTCTCTGCTTCATTGTGCTTTTCTGAGAGAGGAGCAGATGATTAAAAAGACCATAGGTATCTCTTCCTCTCTGAGCTCTCACTACTTGCCATCCAAAACTCGGGCACTAGATTAATTTGGAGAAAGCAAAGTCTCTCACAAAGCTAATGTACTTTCTGAATTCTCACCATCTATACTCAGGAACTGAGAATTGGATAGTGGGGATACTTGTAACAGATTTTCCTAATGTGAACTTGATACATCAGAAGAAAGCAGTTCATATATGTTTTAATTTAGCCTGTGTAACAAGAGAGAGGGATTTTAGAATGAGTTCCAGAATAAAAACTATAGTGTAAATATTTGCCTCAGACAGGATCCCGGTTGCAAGCAACAGAAGCTGACTGTGCTGATTTAAAAGCCTGTTAACGGATATTGGCTGGCTTGAGGAATTGTAGAGGCTGGGAAACAAGTTCCCAGGGAAGCTTCTAGAACTGGCATGTCACGCAGAGCTGGTCTAATGAGGAAACCCCAGTGAGCTTAGGCTGTAGTCTGCCTACTGTCACTTCTGCAGTGAACTGTGATGGAACCTCATGCCACAGTCAGCAGTGTGAGGAGTGCCACCTCCCACCACTCTAGCCAGCACCAGAGGGAGGAGAGGAGGGCTGTGCATGGTCACCTCTTCTGCCGCCAGCTCTGAGGCCAAGTCTGGCATGGGTGCGACTGCAGAACCAGGCCCTAGTTTTAAAGAATCCTGGGCAGCAAGTTCTGGCATCTCCCCGGGAGACGCGGGACGCATAACGCTGGAAATTCTCCAAGTGTGGGAAGGCTGTCCAAAGGCGCGGGCAGCTCCGGGCAGGTCGGGTGCCCATTAGAACAGTGTTCGACATTTGCGAGTGTAACCCTTCAGTTGGTCGTAAATCACTCTGGTGAAACCAGCTTGCTTGCCTTCTTCTACCTTTTTTTTTTTTTATTGTTAATGAAATAAAATAGAAGAGAAAGTATTGGTGTATCACTTACAGTAAGTTTCATCTTGTGAAACTTATCATTGAACATGATCTGCATTGGTGTATGGAAACTGAGTTGCCAGGTAAAAGCTATTGTTACCCCAGTTCATGATCTTAAAAGCCTGCACAGTCCAGTGCTCAGAATTTATTTTCAGCTTCACTACTCACCTCACTTATTTCCAAAGCATAGTATTTGTCTTTTCTCTTTCATTTTCAGAAAAAGTCAGTGTGCCCCACCCTGACTCTCTCTCTCTCTCTCACACACACAAACACACACACACACACACACACACTCCTGCGAGCAGGGAGCTTTCACTTGTTAAGGTACAATCTGTATGACTTACACTTATAGGTAACCTACTTACTGTTATAACATTGTTTCCCTGGGAAATGATGACCTGAGTTCCAAAGAAAAAACCAAAACACACACAACGTGAGGAGACTTGGTGCCTGTTATGTGTATGGCAATAGTTGTTACAATGTGGATGAATCATGTCAACCTAGACTTGGACCTCAAAGTATCTGTCAGAAAAAAACAATTTAAGTAAAGGGCCTTTTACTGTCCTTAGTCTTGTCTCTGAAATGAGTTCGTTCTAACCCTGTAATGTTACCTCTGCAGGTCCATTTACTCGACCTCATCCAGCCTTATGGAGAATGGTTTTTGGTGAGTTACCCTTTGGATTTTAAAATATATGCTACTTAAAAAGTTTTTTTTCCCTGCATATTATCATAGCAGTTTTGCTTACCACTCTATAGGAAAAAAAACTATAGCTTTTTACTTCTTGGTGTTCCTAATATAAATTTTTTATTAAAATCTTTGCCACAAAATCAAGTACTGGTGACAATCAACATCCTGGTACATGTGAACCGTTTTAGCTCCACTTGCCCCTTCTTATGCTGTGGCTCTACTGTACACAGGACTTGACATAGGGATTGTGGCTTGCTTTTCTCTAACCAGTTAACCACCACACGTCCAAAACGGAAACCATCCCCACTCGCCACGATATTTTGAATTTAAAAAATCAATTTGCAATGAATATTACAAAAATAAATATATTACAATTCGGGTGTTCTTGAATATTTTCAGCTGAAAATTCTCACAAAAAAATGATTTTAAATTTGGTCAGGGCTGCCACTTAGGGAAAACTTTTTTTTTTTTTTATAGATGTGTGTGGGGAAGGTCCGCCGCTTGCGTCTATAGACGCTTATGGTGGACAATGGGTTAAGCATCTTCCTGTTTCTCTTCGCTAGTGCAGCTCAGGTGTATCCTAGGAGCACATTGGTCTCCTCGGCATCGAGGAGGACTGAAAAGTCCAGCGATCTCAGTGTTATGAATGGGAAAGAACTTGGGCAAGGGAGTCTTTAGACAAAGAGCCCTGATTTGAACTACAGTTTAGTGATCAGTATTTTATATAAATACTGGCTGTCTTATTTTTATTTGATTTCTAGTCCAAATATCACCTGAATGGATTTAACACAGATCTTCAAAACTATAGACATTGGCTTTATCTTGCCTAAATAAGACATCAAATAAATTACTTTAACTTCAGAAAATGTAATCTTCTGCATAAGGACCCTAATGATGGACCTTTCGCTCAAGGTTGCCTGTTTTTCTTTCAGTGTTCAGGGATCAAAGGTAAATCCCTTTGAACTTAGTGGTCATTCCGGACCTTCGTTCAGTGCCCCGTGGGCAGGCGCTGCTTTGCCCGAGGCTGTGATGGGCAGACAGCCCAGGAGCCGCTCTGCCAGTCAGGAGGGCCCTGCAGAGGGAGGACATCTGCAGCCAACGCACTGTTAAACCAGTCATCAGAAAAGTCCGATGTGGCTTAAGTGTTAGGACCATGTGAGGTGATAGTGACTGGGTGGCTGCTTTTGCCTGTGGGTGAGGGGAGGCTGGAGGCAGGGTGCTTCATCCAAAACCTGCATGCAGAGGAGGATCGGAGCGTGCCACGGCGGGGTGGGAGCCAGACAGAGAATGAGCTCAGTGGTCCACAGCTAGGAAACGTTCGGCGTGTTCCAGGCCCGGGGGGCTGGAGCTTAGCAGGCTTGGGGAAGTGGTGAGTGGTCAGAGTTAGGCACAGATGGAAACCTGCAGGGCTTGTAGGCCACTCAGGATTGTGGGTGCGAAGGGCAGTCGGAGGTCATGGGAGGATTTTTTGCAGAGAAGTGAGATGGTTCATTTACATTTTTTAAAAAAATATATTTTATTGGTTTTTTTACAGAGAGGAAGGGAGAGGGATAGAGAGTTAGAAACATCGATGAGAGAGAAAGATCCATCAGCTGCCTCCTGCACGCCCCCCCACTGGGGATGCACCCGCAACCAAGGTACATGCCCTTGATCGGAATCGAACCTGGGACCCTTCAGTCCGCAGGCCGACACTCTATCCATTGAGCCAACTGGTTCGGCGGTTCATTTACATTTTTAAAAGACAGTCCTGCTATACTTTTCACTTCATGGACTTAGTGTATCTGCTTGAAGTTAAAAGTTATTTTTAGCTAGTTGGCTACACCTGAGCTTTTCCTATTTCAAATGGTCCACTATAGGGAATGAGCAGTTTTGTTTCTTACCTGAGATCTTTTTGGGATCTTGGAGCCCTTTGCTAATCCGATGAGAACTATGGATCTTTTCCTCCCCTAACAGACACACAGACACACATGTATTCATGCGTGTTTGCTTCACACACACAGTTCTCATGTTCTTCGTGGACCTCGAAGCCCAGCCATGAAGTAATTATTTTGAAAGGATTATAATAAAAAGGTCTAGGGAAGGGGGGGAGCATTTGAGTTGAAAATTTGTGTGAAAATAGCTGGTGCATAAGTGCAAACCCGAGGAGGTCCTCACACCAATGTGCCTAGTCCCAGGGAAGCACGCCCTGGTGGGAATGCTCCTCTGCAGCCCCCCCCCCCCCCCCAACCCCCCATACCCCTGCCCCAGGCCCGGGACTGGCAGCTCCCTGTTGGAAGGCCTGCGCTGTAGCCGGTCCATTGCATTCCAGCCACGATGTCCTCTCCTCTGGAGTGGCTCCCTGCAGGTGAGTGCTGAGCCAAGTTTGGACGGGGTGCTGTGGTCCTAGGTCATTTGTATCACAGTGTCTAGATGTCCTATATTAACGCATAAATTCTAGCAGGTTCGACAGAAACAGAAGTGACAAAGCCCCAGTGGTTGGTTTTCAGAACTTTCTAAAGTGTATTAGCAGGCTTTTGCCTTCTTAGAGTAGATTAACTTTATTTTTCAATGACGTGGGAAGATTATGAGGAAACCAATTATGATAGGATGTGACAGTAAGGTAACGCCTGCAAGGGCTAATGTGGGCCACCTCCCGCACTCCTGTCACTGCTGAACTGGCCCCCCAACTATCTACACCGGCCTCGCCCACCTGCACCCCCTCTCCACACAGTGGCCAGAGTCGGCCTCGTAAAATGTTCCTAGATCATCGTATCCCCCACTGAAACCCTGTCAAGTGCTCCTTGTTTCACGTACGATAAAATCTGAAACCTTTGCCGTGGCCCCCAGCTGATTGTCACTTCAGGGCCACCGCACCCCTTCCCCGTGATGATGGCACCCCAGCCACATGCCGGCTTCCAGACACTTCTCTCTCCAGGGACCTACCTGCAACCTTTCTCGGCCTGAAAGCTGCACTCACCCCTCCACCCCCACCCCCACCCGACCCCTCTGTCTGCCAGTCCTTCAAGTCTCGGCTTCAGCATCCTTTTCTCAACACTGTTGCCGACCCTCTCAGTCTGAACTAGGACTGTGCATGAGACTCTCACAGGGAAGCCCAGATTGTACCGGGGGTCCAACACGCTGTGAAAGTGACACTGTTTCTGTTTCCCTCAGGACTCAGCGTGCTCTACTTCCTCTTCCTGGTCTTCCTCCTCTTCCTGAACTTCGAGCAGGTGAAATCCATAATGTACTGGCTAGACCCAAATCTCCGCTACGCCACGAGGGAAGCGGACATCATGGTATGTACTGGTCAGTGGTTCCGGGCATTGCTGGGCTCCTGGGTGTTGGAGGGAGTCCGATGCACATTCCAGTGGCTCCTGCTCCGTGTCTCCTGAGTAGAGAGCTAAACAAGGTCTCTGGGCAGGTTGGTGAGGGCATGGCTTCCCTGAGGGATAGTCAGGGAAGCAAAGTCCTCTCGGAGCCAAGGGGTGGCAGGGAGCGTGTGAGCGTGATCGGGAGACGGCCTTGGGTGTGTGTCTGCCTCCGTCACTTGGGAGCTGTAGGACTTCGGGTAACACACTCTATTTGGGGAGTTGACTGTGAACTAAGGAAGTAACATTATCCACGAGGCCTAGCACAGTGCCTTGCACACACAGGTCCTCCGTGGTGGAGCTGCATCTGCTCCGTCACCTCCAGCCTACACCACGATCCTTCTCACCTGCTGCCATGAGGAGCCACTTGTCATGATTTAGGCCAGTGGTCGGCAAACTCATTAGTCAGCAGAGACAGATATCAACAGTACAACGATTGAAATTTCTTTTGAGAGCCAAATTTTTTAAACTTAAACTATATAGGTAGGTACATTGTTATTAACTTAATTAGGGTACTCCTAAGGCTTAGGAAGAGCCACACTCAAGGGGCCAAAGAGCCACATGTGGCTCGCGAGCCACAGTTTGCCGACCACGGATTTAGGCCATTGCATCATTAGCTTTACTAAATCACAAAACATAACTTTATTCTTGGCTGAAGCTGCTCTGTGCTTTGGTGTCAGACGCTATTTCATGCGGTAATGCATTTGCTCCGCACCCCTCCCTTCAGTGCCTAACACTTGGTACAGTTTGGAGAAAGAGCTGGTGATGCTCACAATGGGAGGTCAGGCATGTGGGCCAGAGACAGACCCTGTTTAACAAGCAAGATACAGTAGGAAGGGACTTAATAAAAGGCCCGAGAAGTCATCCTTCTACTGCAGTTGAGATTGGTCAGACCCTTCGGAATGGTGTTTCCAGACTTTATCTTTAACGTTTATAAAGGACATGCTAAAGGCAGGAATAAGAATGCCAGAAATGACTTCGAAGTCTTGGGGAGAGCAGTCTGTTGGGGGTTCGGACTCTAAGGAAGAGGATGGTGCAGGGTGACTTACAGCTTCTAATGATAAGGATTGTGACAGTTGGGGTGAGGGTGATAGCAGGGGCTGATTGGGGTTGTCTACTCTGCCAGGCACTGGGCTGGGCGCTTTATATTGAATCTATACAAGCCTCACGCATGCATGGCAGACAGTCTTATCCCATCTTACCAAGGAGAAAATAGAAACTTAAAATAGATAAGTATTTTGCTCAGAGCACAAATTGGTTAAGATCCCTTTGGCTCTAAAATGTGTACTTGCCTTTTGGGCTAGTCTTCAGTTATACAGTTATAATAATAATAATAATAAGAAGAAGAAGAAGAAGAAGAAGAAGTGCTTTCATGCTCACCGAAGTCTATGAAATCTTAGAGATTAGGAGAAAGATGTCTCAGATATATTTCCCCCACAATTTTCTTGGACTTTTAAAAATATATATTTTTATTGATTTTAGATAGGAATGGAGAGGGAGAGAGAGATAGAAACATCAATGATGAGAGAGAATCATTAATCGGCTGCCTCCTGCACGCCTCCTACTGGGGATCGAGCCTGCAACCCAGGCATGTGCCCGTGACTGGAATTGAACCCAGGGACCTTCAGTCTGCAGGCTGACGCTCTATCCACTGAGCCAAACCGGCTAGGGCTTTATTTATGTTTTGTTACTGACCTAACACAGTTGCCCTGTGGTCAGGTGACAGAGCATATGTGATTCCCCTTTGAGATGTGTAAGCCTTTGTAAAATTATTTTACTTCTCATTTTAACCCAGCTTTTGCAGTTCAGAGCAAAGCAATTTAATTCATAAACTCTAATTAATGCTTATCCTTATTTCCTCAAGAATCTTCAGTTATGAAAACATTTTTGTTGGGCAGGACATATATTAGTTATTAAGGTCACATCAGTTTCTGTTTATTTTCAGAATCCTGGGAGCCAGTTGATTTCTAGAGTATCATTAATTATTCCCCTTTTTACTTCAAACAGGAGTATGCTGTGAACTGCCATGTTATCACCTGGGAGAGGATTATCAGCCATTTCGATATATTTGCATTTGGACATTTCTGGGGCTGGGCCATGAAGGCCTTACTGATCCGCAGTTATGGTCTCTGCTGGACCATCAGCATCACCTGGGAGCTAACTGAGGTAAGAAGGGGGCGGGCCGTCATCTGGACCCTCAGTGTGGATAGTTTATATGGAGGAAGAAGCTGGTCCGTCAGTTCACAGTCAAGTATCCATTCTCCAGTGTCGGGAACAAAACTGCATTGAAAACACCCCCTTAGGAATATTTTTGTGAGAAAGAAATTAGCTTTTTGCTAACTTAAACTGTGCCTCTATGTCACAAATCTTAAAGAGAAACCAATGAGCCCTGGCCGGGTAGCTCAGTTGCTTAGAACATCATCCCCATTCGACAAGGTTGCAGGTTTGATCACTGGTCAGGGCACATACAAGAAGCAACCAATGAATGCTTCATAATAAGTGGATAAGTAAGTGGAACAAGTCAGTGTTTCTCTCCCTCCCTTTCTCTCTAAAATCAATAAATAAAAAATTTAAAAAACACACAAATGAAATAAAGCTAAAGAATGAAATTGAAATCCTAAGTGAGACAAATAAAGGATAATGAGATTTGCTTAGAAGTAAATAGGTAGTTTACCCAGTAACGAGTTTCCAGCTTGAAATAAATAGGATTGTGTGTTTAGGAATTACTAGGGCATAGATGATGTTTTGTAGCTAAAGAATGAATTACCGGTACAGCGTTACATCTCAGTAATCAAACGTATTGTCTCATTTAATGAATGAAAAGAGATATATTCTTGAAAAACCATTAGCAAAATGAAACTTGGGGAACGAACTCATTTATTGTTTAGTTATTATATTACTCTTTTTTAAAAAATATATTTTATTGATTTTTTACAGAGAGGAGAGGAGAGGGATAGAGAGTCAGAAACATCGATGAGAGAGAAACATTGATCAGCTGCCTCCTGCACACTCCCTACTGGGGATGTGCCCTCAACCAAGGTACATGCCCTTGACTGGAATCGAACCTGGGACCCTTCAGTCCGCAGGCCGATGCTCTATCCACTGAGCCAAACCAGTTAGGGCTATTATATTACTCTTATTCATTCACAAGAAACACAATTTGGCCATGTGCACAGCCTGTTTCTCCAAGCCAGTCATCATCCTGACCCTAACCTAGAGGAGCAGGGTTCTCCCCAGGCTGCGGTGTTCTCCATGCCACCCCCAGCCGCTTCGTTTCAGCAACTGTGTCATCACCGGCTGCCGAGTAAGAGCTGATGCTCCGCCTCATGGCTGGAAGCCTGGGAATGTGCCTCAGGGTAGTGACCCACCTGGGTCAGAGCGCAGGCCCCACCGTCACCTGCAGGAGCTGCTTTGTACCTCTCGGCAGCAGGCACGCTAAGGAGGCAGGCGCCTCATACACGTGCATTGGTAATGTTTCACAGTCCATGAAATGCTCTCATGAGTAGTTTTATTTTGTAGTATTTATTATATTACTCCAGAGTAATTCTCTTCTCTTCTATCACTTTGTAATTACATTACTTTGTAATTATGGGGTTCCCTCCTTAGAGAACCCCAGGCAGTTTCTCTGTAATTTCAGACTTTAAAACGGGCCTTCACGCGGCAGGGTGTCTGTCCCGGACACAGCTGTTCTGCCCTTGTTTTGAACAACATTGTGCAGTAGACTTCTGTTCCACCCTGGACACTACTGTTCCCCTTTCTGAAATGCCTCGTCTCCATCTGTCTCCCGAAGCCAGTCGCTTCTGGCCTTAATGATCCCACTTCAGGATACCTTCCGTGCAGAAGCCTGTGCAATTGCCTTCTCTCAGGATGACTCCTGTCCCCTCTGTGCTCCTTTTATGTCACCATGGTAACACTTCCACAGCCTGCCCTATTGTGTGGTTCCAGATGAACATCTGACTCCTGCCCTGGAGATCAAGTACCTTGATTTCATTTTGTCTTACCGTCTGCTCATCATCGGTGCTTCATAAAAGATGATCATTTTTGGGAATCAGTTAGTGTGAGATTTCCCATTAAGCTATCAGTTCCGTATATCATGTCATCAAGGTCTAGCTTTTTTACTTTATGTTTACAGCTTCCTCCCTGTTTTACCCAAATAAACAGGGAGTGGAATATTTCTAAAATGCACAGCTTCAATTACCAAGCTGCTAATTTTGAGGATTATGCCAGTGCTTTGTTGGCAGGTCTGAGAACTTCTCTCCTTTACCCTCCTGAGTCCTTGTCGTGTAGCCCTTAGCCAGCGCAGCTCATCAGTAGTATTTTGTAAAGAGGGGCCATCATTTCTTTAAAGGCCTCTGTCAAAAGATGAGCTGTCTGCATCAGTACTGTTTGCAAACCACAATATAAAAAACAAGAACTAGATTACAAACCCTACTTTTTTTTTTAATACATCAGGAAAAACTGACATATCAACAACTGTTCCTAAAACATGTATTAGAAGGAAATTGGCTCGGCTGGTGTGGCTCAGTGGTTGAGCATCGACTTATGAACTAGGACAGTGGTCGGCAAACTCATTAGTCAACAGAGCCAAATATCAACAGTACAACGATTGAAATTTCTTTTGAGAGCCAAATTTTTTAAACTTAACTTATATGGGTAGGTATATTGTTATTAACTTAATTAGGGTACTCCTAAGGCTTAGGAAGAGCCACACTCAAGGGGCCAAAGAGCCGCATGTGGCTCGCGAGCCACAGTTTGCTGACCACGGAACTAGGAGGTCACAGTTGGATTCCTGGTCAGGGCACATGCCTGGGTTGCGGGTTCGATCCCCAGTAGGGGGCATGCAGGAGGCAGCTAATTCATGATTCTCTGTCATCGATATTTCTATCTCTCCCTCTCCCTTCCTCTCTGAAATCAATTAAAAAATATTTTTTTTAAAAAAAGGAAATTTATCTTTATGTGTGGTGCTCCATTTTTTATTTTTATGTTACCACCATCGTCTGTTGTGTCCTCAGCTTTTCTTCATGCATCTCCTGCCCAATTTCGCTGAGTGCTGGTGGGACCAGGTGGTCCTGGACATCCTGCTGTGCAACGGCGGCGGCATCTGGCTGGGCATGGTCGTCTGCCGGTTCTTAGAGATGAGGACCTACCACTGGGCCAGCTTCAGGTGAGCCGCGCCCCTCTGGACAGCGCCACAGCTTTCCCCGCGAGCCCGGAACTGCTGTCGGAGATGCAGCCTACGGCACAGTCTTTGATGACAAGAAGTAAATTACACATTGGTCATTGAAACTCATAAATGATTAGAAACCTAATTTTAGGCATTCATCTAGAAAGTACTAAGTCATTTATGATTTTCTCAAAACTCTCCTTTCCACCTGTGTGCCTCAGCCTGCATTCAGACTGCCATCGCTGGATTAATTAGCCCCCCTCTTTCCAAGGTAACCCCTCAAAGCCTCCTCACACATTGCTGGACTGATTTTTTAAAGAATGTCCCATTCATCATGTGATAGCTTCTTGTGGTCTTTAGGACAAAGTGGACAAAGTGTGCTTCCGTGGACTCAGCAGGGTACCTTTCTCCACACCCTCCAGGGAACCGAGCGCCCTGAGCCCATGTATATACTCCCGTCCGCCTGGGTCTGCCTGTGTTCCCAGGGGCCACGGTCCTTCACTTTCCTGACCTGGCTCACTTGTTACGTCGTCAGGTAGTTGTCTCTGACTGTCTAGTTGCGTGTCCCTCCTCTCCTCTGTGGAGAACAGTGCACACCCCGTCATTCTTCATCCTGCTTCTCTGAACTTGCTCCTCAGTTTGACTGGCAGGAGCCATGCCATTGATAAGGAGGAAAAGAACGCGGTAGAGATAATGAAAATAGTCTTTTTTATTGTGTTTAAAACTTTATATAACAAAATATGAGCATTTTCCAGCATTTAAATTTTTAAAAAATATAATTTTAAAGGGTTTCTTCATATTCCAACATATGGATAAACCATAAGGTATTTAAACAATTCCCTTTTATGAGCATTTAGTTATTTCAAACTTTTCACTTTTATAAAAAAGTGGACGTTTTGAATATGTATCTTTGTGTGCATATCTGATTTTTTTAACATAAATTCTTATAAGTAGAATATACCAATTTATGTTCTCACCTGTATACACCAATGAATATGTGTTCATTTCATTATTGCTTTGAATTTTATTTTTAAGCTTTGTCAATTTTATTACACATAAAATTGTGTGATATTAAATTTCTAGTGTATTTCTATTAGATTTTTCTCTTTCATTAGTGCTTTTTCTGGATTAAGGATTTTAACATTTGTCATAAATGTGATTTTCCATTTTGCCATCTCTTTTAATTTTTTTGTGGTAATTTTGTCATTTAAACTTTAAAAGCTTTAAATCTTTTTGTTTAGGTTAATGTTAACCCATATTTTCTTCTAATTCTTTAATGGTTTAGTCTTTTTATTATAAGAAATTTTAGAATTGTTTCTTTAGCCAATGACTGGAAAGGTTGCTTGTTAATATATTGAAGGCAGTACATATATAATGTAACAACCCGCAGTTGTGCTGGATACTGCTCCAAGCAAGCTCTGTAAGCAGTATGGCATTTGAGCTTTCTATCAATCCGAGGGGTAGACACTACATCCCTCTCATTTTAGGGATGACCATACAGAGACTTAGGTTTAGTAATTCACTGAAGGACATATAACCAGCAAACTGTTGAGTCTGAATTTGTGTCAGACTGTCCGGCTCCTTAAATACTGACATAATGCTTCCCTACTTTCATATATTTATGCTTTAAATTCGACTTGAGAATTGTTTTGTTGGGTCAACAAACTTTAACAGAAAATCCCATTGGTGCTTTTTTAAAAGTTCTATGAAATGTACAAATGACTATAGATTCACTTAAGTTGAATTAACAACTTCTTTACTATAAAATACAGGTCCTTCATAGTTCTTGTTTACTTTGGATAGTTGTATTTTGCTATTGCTTTTTTGCCGCAAATGTGCTTGCTGCAAGGTTTTCTCAGTACATGCTTGTCGATGGGTAGGTGAGTGAATGAGGAACAAACCTGGTTTCCTTCCACTTCCCCCACCTCCCTCCAAAGGAATAAAGGCCTGACTTGTTTGCACTTGTGCCTTCAGCACTTAGCACAGTCTGAGACTTAAAGATCCTGATGTAAGTCAGCACTGCTCACTGCTGTGTACCCTGGGTTTCGGCTCCTGCACTAGCCAGGCAGGCCTGGCATGCACCCCCGCGCCCAGGCTTGCAGAGTGGGCCTGCGTCCTCCAGTTGCTCTCTCTGAGCCTAAATGTTCTCATCTGTAATATGTGACTTTCTGTCATGGGCATATGACATTTTTAATTGAGTCCATCCTGGGATCAGAAATAAGGTTAAAAATCACGGCTCCCTTATCTGAGGGAGAAACAGGGTGAGTGCAGATGTGGGAGACTGCGAGAATGTGGAGCATGTCCTCTTACTAAAACGCCCCAATCTGGGAGGCAAACAGTGGAGGGAATCGGATTCTTGCTGGCGCCCTCCTCCTTCCTGCCTGGCTCCGGAAGGTGGTCTCCAGTGCCTCTCAGCTTCTTTCGTCAGCCACTCACCAAGCAAGGCCTCTCCTGGCTCTGCAGGACCTGGGCTCTGCGGGACCTGGGCTCTGCGCTGTGCCTGTCATCCCGGACTTCCCGAGTGTCACCTGTGCAGAGAGAGGCCCTGGTTGCAGAGACAGTTCACACGGAAAGGCATCTTCTTGTGCGGAGCATTGGTTGTAAACAGTCAGCGCAGAGGGGTTTTTTGTTTGTTTTTTCTTGTTTTGGGGTTTTTGTTCTTCCCCTTTCTTCTCTCTTCGGATTCTCACTGGAGCTGTTCTCTTCTTACAGGGACATCCACACCACCACTGGGAAAATCAAAAGAGCCGTGCTGCAGTTCACTCCTGCCAGCTGGACCTACGTTCGATGGTTCGACCCCAAGTCTTCATTTCAGAGAGTGGCTGGAATATACCTTTTCATGATCATCTGGCAGGTATTCTTTTCAGATGCCCAGAACTAGGGGAAAAAAGAAAACTATCCAAGAATTTAGAGGTGATGCTAGTTGACATTGCTTACCAGCTAGATGTTTCATCATGAAGGCATTTTAAAATAGGAATCTTTGAATGACAAGGAACAAATTAAAATTCTGCTAAAGGAGCTCATAGTAAGCATCCATCACCCAATGAGTTAGGCATTGGATTGCTTTTTAGAAAGATCATTTTCAGGACCAAAGGAACTAATGCAAGGCTTTTTTTTTTTAAGTTTCAAATTCAATGTGTGATTTTTAAAATTGTGTCTAGGCTGTTGCCACTTTGGGTAATTTATTTTTTAAAATATGTTTTCATTGATTTTAGGGAAAGAGAGAGTGAGAGATAGAAACATTAATGATGAGAGAATCATTGATCGGCTGCTTCCTTGTATGCCCCCTACTGGGGATCAAACCCGCAACTGAGGCGTGTGACCTGACCAGGAATTGAACCGTGACTATCCCAGCAGATCACACACCTGACCCAAGTGACAACTGTGTGAAACAGGAAGCATGACAAGTAGCTGGTGCCCCCATGTGCTTCTCCCAGCACCCCAGTGCCTCCCTCTGGACCCCCGTTGGCTGATGCCCATGTTGTACCGGCTATTACAAGTCTCAGTAGCAACCCTTGGAAGACCCCAGGTGTCCTCTGAAAATGCTTTGAACAGACCAGTTATTTTTAGTTGTAGAATTCCCATAAGGGAGTATATGACTATGACTTAGAATGAAGTACCAGGTTGACTGCTGCCTCCTTCTTTTTCAGCTGACTGAGTTGAACACCTTCTTCTTGAAACATATCTTTGTGTTCCAAGCCGGTCATCCACTGAGTTGGTGTAGGATTCTCTTTATTGGCGGCATCACGGCGCCCACAGTGAGGTATGCTGTATGAGTCTGACTGTCACTGGAGCACGTTAACCTGCTCTGTATGCTCCTGTTCAGCGTGAGGGAAGTCACAGAAACTAGCAGATTTTCCATGAAACGATCATTGTACAGAATTATATGTTCATAATATGAAGAACATGTTTTGCTCAGACCTCAGTAACGGAAGTGAATAATCAAAACCACAACATTGTTTTCAGACCCCTTATAATCTCCAGTGCTTATTAAAAAACATGAGTAGCAGTGATGTTGAGGTTCCCTTTTTAATGAGATTATTGAAAAATACAAATGTTGTTATGGTAGATCTGAAGTCATAAATGATATTTATTTATTTTTTTAATAACAGTTGACACTCAATATTTTTAATATATTTTTGTGATGTATTTTTATTGATTTCAGAGAGGAAGGGAGAGGGAGAGAGAGACAGAAACATCAATGATGAGAGAGAATCATTGATCAGCTACCTCCTGCATGCCCTACACTGGGGATTGAGCTCACAACCTGGGCATGTGCCCTGACTGGGACTTGAACCATGACCTCCTGGTTCATAGGTCGATGCTCAACCACTGAGACACATCGGCTGGGCAAAGACCTGAATTCTTTATTACTAGAATTCTTCAGCGGGGTCTTTGGGTAAAGAGATGATAGTTCTGGATGAGCTTTAGGTATAAGTGAATCCCCTGAAGTGTAATGCAAAATTCTGTGTGTTTTATATGCCTTTATAGATGGCTTTCATAAAATCCTCAAAGTTTGTTATCCCAAAACGATGATGAGCTCCTGGTTCGGATGCAGCTTCTGAAGGGACGGGTTGAGCACTAGAGTGTGGCTAGTCCACACCGAAATGTGCTATAATGTGAAACACCCCAGACTGTGGAGACTTAGCACAAAAACAATATACAGCACTTCTTTATAATGTTTCCAAAAGATTGGGTTAAATAACAAAGATTATGAAAATTTCAACTGTTCATTTTTGCATTTCTTATGTGGCTATTGGAAAATTTTAAATTGCATTTGCGGCTTTTATTGTATTTCTGTTGGGTAGGTGTTGCTCTAAGTCTTTCAACTCTATGTCATTGCCCACCCACTTTTTAAAAAAATTTTTTTATTTTGTCAGTAACATTCAAAATCGTTGGCATTCAGTGACCGCGAGGTCCATTCTGGTCTCTGAGAGCCAGGAAACATCTATGCTTTTTGCCTGGTTACCATCAGCCACCTTGGCCTGGAGGGATCCAGAGGAGACAGTTAATGACAGCACCGGTGACTCTCAGAATCGCCTTCACAGAGGGAGACTGAGGCGCCCACTAGGGCTGCTTTGGCTCAGGGCTCTGGGAGCCTGTCCCTGAACCAAGACCATCTTTGCCAATAACCAGGCTCCCCTCCTTGCAGCCCAGCCCGAACTCCTAACCTCTCACAGGAACATCTCAACAGTCACCAGCTTCCTAGTTCCTTAAAGAACTAGACCAGGCAGCTGGCGTGCGTGGAACAGGACAGGACATCTGTCTATTCATCTGTCACAGTAATTCAACTCCATGTTGACTGGCTGGTCTTACAGAAGCTCAGTGAATTCCCCCTTTGTCCTTTCAGACAGTACTACGCTTACCTCACCGACACGCAGTGCAAGCGCGTGGGGACCCAGTGCTGGGTGTTTGGGTAAGTACCTGCCCAGTGGAGGCTTAAAAAACACTTATGCCTCAAAATCGCTTTTACTATTTCCTGACCCTGTGTTGAATGCCTTTCAATGCAGGTTTCCTAGGAAGGCTTGCTGATGTTTTTAGATGGCTTTCATTTGTGGAGGTTTTTTTAACCTTAGTTTTTTTTATTCTCAGAAGATAAAGTATAAAATACAGTGAATTAGATAATTCCCTTATAATCCCTTTCAATTAAGGTAGATTAAAAGCTTCAAATTTGACTTTTCCAAATGTTAGTAGATATTTTTGCTTGTTTGTTTTTATTTTTTTACATTTATTTTTCAATTAGAGTTGACATTCAATATTATTTTATATTAGTTTCAGCTGTATAGCATAGTGGTTAGACATTTATATAATTTACGAAGTGATCCCCCTTGGTAAGTCTCGTACCCACCTAGCAGCATAGTAGTTATCCCAATATTATTAACTGTATTCCCTATGCTGTACTTGATATCCTCCTGACTGTTTTGTAACTGTCAATCTGTACTTCTCAATCCCTTCACCTTTTTCACCCAGTCCCCAACCTCCCCCTCTGGGAACCATCAGTTTGTTCTCTGTACCTGTGAGTCTGTTTGTTTATGTAAATTCCACATATAAGTGAAATCGTATGCTGTTTGTCTTTCTCTGACTTATTTCACTCAGCAAAATTAATACCTTCTAGGTCCATCCATATTGTCACAAATGTTAAGATTTCATTCTTTATGGCCAAGTGATATTTCATTGTGTATATGTATCACATCATCTTTATCTACTTGTCTATTGATAGATACTTGGGTTGCTTCGGTATCTTGGCTATTGTAAATAATGCTGCAGTGAACATAGAGGTGCACATATTTTTTCCAATTAGTGTTTTGGGTTTCTTTGGATATATACCCAGAAATAGAACTACTGGGTCATGTGGCAGTTCTGTTTTTAATCTTTTTAAGCAGCCTCCATACTCCTTTCCATAGTGAATGCACCAATTTGCAATCTACCAACAGTGCATGAGGGTTCCCTTTTCTCCACATCCTCGCCAGCACTTGTTTGTTGATTTATTGGTGTTAGCATATGGTTTCCTTTATTAACGTTACCTTTTCTGACTTAAGATTAGAATAGTTAATTGGCAAATTATAGAAAGAGGGTATAGAAACTGCTTTTAAAGAAATATTAGGAAATCAAAGGTATCTCCCACCTAGAACTCAGATGCCTTATTTTATTAAATAAATTAGATACAAAATGGATTTTTCCAATATCATCTGAATTTGGTGATAAGTTTGGGACATCATTTTGTGATGGCATTACCTATACTTTTTATGTTTTTCACATCAAAAAGACCTTGTAAAGCCCTAGCTGGTTTGGCTCAGTGGATAGAGTGTCGGCCTGCAGACTGGAGGTTCCAGTTCGATTCCAGTCAAGGGCACATACCTGGGTTGCGGGCTTAATCCCCAGTCGGGGGCATGTAGGAGGCAGCCAATCAATGATTCTCTCTCATCATTCTCTCTCTCATTGATGTTTCTCTCTCTCTCTCCCTTTCCCTTCCTCTCTGAAATCAATAAAAATATATTTTTTAAAAAAAGACCCTGCAGCCCTAACCGGTTTGGCTCAGTGGATAGAGCGTCAGCCTACGGACTGAAGGGTCCCAGGTTCGATTCCAGTCAAGGCCATGTACCTTGGCTGCAGGCACATCCCCAGTGCGGGGTGTGCAGGAGGCGGCTGGTCGATGTTTCTTGCTCATCGATGTTTCTAACTCTCTATCCCTCTCCCTTCCTCTCTGTAAAAAATCAATATATTTTTTAAAAAAAGACCCTGCAGCCCTAACCGGTTTGGCTCAGTGGATAGAGCGTCAGCCTACGGACTGAAGGGTCCCAGGTTCGATTCCAGTCAAGGCCATGTACCTTGGCTGCAGGCACATCCCCAGTGCGGTTCTCTCTCATCGATGTTTCTAACTCTCTATCTCTCTCCCTTCCTCTCTGTAAAAAATCAATAAAATATATTTTTTTAAAAAATCAATAAAATATATTAAAAAAAAGAAAGACCCTGCAAAACAGCTACTTGATATATTCCAAGGTGTAAGTTCATTATCCCCAAGAGAATTAACACTTAGCCACATGGTCATAATTTATTGTCTTGTTATGGATACAAATGCTGTATCTGAATTTACTATTATTTAAGTGATGAAAGAAACCACAGGTTATCTAATTTACAGTATCCCCCCCTCATGTGAAATGTGAGACCATCTTCAATATGCCAGACCAGTGGTTCTTAAACACCATGAACGATTCACGTGCCACTTAGCATTTGAAGTTCTAGAGACATCCAGCAAATCTGTACGTGATTTTCAGTCCCTTAGGTCACTTAGATTCAAAATGCTAACTTCTAAATTGAGTGTGAAAGTATATATTTGATGAAAACCTATAGTAGGGAAAAATTACTACTTTCCACAGATCCTGGTGACTGAGTTTCACAGCCTCCTCCCACCCTCATCTTGCCTTCCCTCCAGTCCACTCTCCGTTTCAGGCCCTCGGTGCTCACCCTCTCCCAGCACCCTCCCTCATCCCATCCTCCTGTGATGGTGCCCCTTCATCCTGCCTCCCTGCCCCCTTATTCAGAGGCACCTGCACGACAGCCCCACGCTCCTGGCAGTAGTGGGCTATTTTTCAGTTATGTTTTTTAGCAGCTGAATCCCTTTCCTCAAATGACAGCCTGCCCCAACCCCTAATATGCATCAGAACAAGTGAGCGGAACTGTGCTGGGTATCCCCACTTGGCCCTCTTCTCACCCCCCGCCTCCCTGCCCGGGTTCTCGGGAGGTCAGAGTTCCAGGAGCCCAGTGGAAGTGTTCTTTCTGGTAAGGCCCCCACCCACCCGGCTACCACTTCCTCCAAAAAGGAACGGACTCACTTGTGGAATGCTTCCCCCTAATCAGAACGGACTCACTGTGGAATGCTTCCTGGCTTTGTGCGATGGTGTAATAGCTGGGTCACCTTATCCGTGCCTCACTTCCACTGGGGGAGGGGAGGGGAGGCTCACCCCGGCCTGGAGCCCCGCTAGAGCCTCCTGGGCAGCTGTGGGCAGTGCTGTGCGGTACAGGGCACCCCCCCACCCCCCGCCCCCAGCTTACACACTCTGAGTCCCGAGCTTCCAGTCTGCAGTCGCCTGCTTGCTTTCTTGTTCTGTGCACCGAGGAGTTCTTTACCCAGCTCTGCACCGCCGGCTTCGTCCCCAGCCTGTGAAGAGCAGGCTCCAAAGACGGGAGCTGAGAGTGTGAGCGCTGACCAGCCTCCGCCCAGAGTTTATGTGCTTCCCCCCTTGTAATTCGAGATAAAAATGGCACCAAAGGGAGCCCTGATGGAATTTCATCAAACCACAGTAGGTCAGTTTGGTAAAGACCAGAGAGATTTCAATTTGCACTGAGTTCAGGGAGGCCTCCCCCCGCCCCAGCATCCCCGCTCCCCCCGCCCCCCCCACAGGTGGGCCAGAGGGTGCGCTGTCCCAGCTGACAGGCCCAGTACAGGCTCCCACCCGGCCCAGGCCCCAAAGTAGCAGCCATTTGAGTCTTGTACAAAAGTAACGTTAACCTTCCGAAAGGATGTTCTTTATTGGAGTCCTCCTGGGGCAGTGCTGGTGATTGGAGAGGCCACGTGATTGTTGGGGATAGCGCCTCTCACATCTCCACAGCTCCAACCGCTCTCTCCCACTCCTGTCCCCTCAGCAGCGCTCAGTTCAGCCCACCAGGTGGGTCACATTAAAATGTAAATTGAATCATGGTAAGTCCTAGGGAGGCCCTACAGACCACGTTACTCTAAGACTCAACACTGCCCCTTCCCCTCACTCTTGGCCGCCCCACTGCCCCCTTCCCAGCCAGTCTTTGCTCAGCGGTCACCCCACTGAGAAGGCCACATGCATGGACAGTGGCTTAGCTAAGAGTCCTTAGCGTAGGAGCAAAGCACATCCTAAAGTTGGTGACTGAGAAGTTAAGTTCTTCAGAATAAACTTGAGATCCTTATGAAGTCAGCTGTGAGGTCAGACCTGCATCTTAAAGCAAAATAGGAAGAAAAATGTTAGCGTAAGGGGACAGAGTACTTTGTGAAACTTGTTTCAGTGTGTGTGTGTGTGTGTGTGTGCGTGTGTGTGTGTGTACTGGGCCACAATAAAAAGTGTGTTTCTGCCGTGGGTCTCAGATCACAGAAGTTTGAGAAACACAGATCTGGTCTGCTGGTCACGGTGCTTTTGAAAGGTGACTCATGAGTAAATATCCAGAAATCCCTCACAATAAGCTCAGGGCCTCTGCCTGAGCTAAGGGCAGACGGGCACACCTCCTTCCTGGGCTGAACATTCCCTTGTAGTTCAAGTCCCCGCTACAGGTTAACTGTTCTTTGTATGTTCACTCACAGGCACCCTTCCCCTCACTGCAGCCTGGAAGTAAGCAAAGCTTCGCTGCCCTCTAGTGTCAGCTCACGCTCTAAACCTCAGAACCCCAGGACTCTCAGACCTACCCCTAAAGCCTCCCGGGTACCTCAGCTAAAACGGTGCTTTGTTGGGGTTGGGGCAGTCTCCACAGACTCAGGCCAACCACTCCCAAACCTCGTTTGGTGAGGATGAGGGGAAAAGACAGCCCCAGACTCTACAGATACATTCTGGAGATTTCCTGTTTTGCTGAGGTGTCTCTGGCTCCAGGCTCCCGGCTGTTTGGAGCGCCCGCACATTTGATGATTGCAGTGACCCCCCTGTTAGCCGGTGGTAGGGGGACCCAGGGCCTCTGGGCCCTTTCCCTTTGAGGGTGTCTGTGCAGCTGCCCAGGCCCCGACTGCAGATCCCCCCTCGAGGGGAGCACTAACCCGGATGTGTCTGGAACCAGTATGTGTTGAATAGTCTTTGGGATCACAGGCAGCTGTGTCACCCTCACCTCATCCGTTCTTACCTTGAGCTCTGAACCTTAATACATGTTTGATTTTTATATTTGTAAGTGAAGATTAGAACATAAGAGTGGCTTTTTTTTTCTTTGGTGTTTTCATTAAAAGAATAAAGCATGAAGTGTTTTTTTAAACATTTTTGTATTTAGCAAAATTGCTTACAGATCAAGAGAGGATAAAAAGTTTATATTGTCAGCAAACATAGGGGATAGTGAATCTGGAAATTCTTAGAAGGCTGGAGGGACTGTGATTGCAGCCTTCATGTTATTGGAAGACTCACTTGCTGGCTCAGACTCAGCCTGTGTGCCATGGAGGGCAGAGTTAGGACCCACAGGTAGAAGAAGTAGGCAGATACCAGCCTGAGAGAAGGAAAGGCTTCTCAGCATCCAGAGATTGGGCGGTGGAGTGGGCCTCCTGCAAAGGTAGGGGGTTCCCTGTCCTTTGAGGTTCCAGCAGGTGGTGGCTGTCCACCCTGGGGTACCAGGCCCCAAGCTGGATGAGACCAGGTGCCTCCAGCTCTGGAAATGGATGACCTGAGATTTTAGTCTTAGAGCGAAGGAAGAAGTAAAACGTATTTTATTGTGTCTGGGGAGGGGCGGAGGGATGAATAGGCAGAGTGCAAAGGATGTTTAGGGCCGGGAAACTACGCTGCATGATTCTGTAGTGGTGGATATGTCATTGCGCATTTGTCCAGACCCCTAGAAGGTACAACATCAGGAGTGAGCCCTAATGTCAGCTGTGGACATGAGACAATATTGACGTGTCAGTGTAGGTTCGTCAGTTGTAACCCGTGTACCACTTTGGGGCAGGCTGTTGACAGTGGGGTGGGGGGCTGTGCGTGTCGGGGGGCAGGCGGTGTAAGAGAAATCTCTACCTTCTCAATTTTCCTGTGAACCCAAAACCACTCTAAAAAACAAAGTCTTTACAAAAAGAAAAGTGGAATAATAGTAAAATAAACTTTTTATTAAATATATATGTGTATGCGTATATATAATTGTGTATATATATATATTACACACACACACACACACACACACACACACACACACACACAATTGACCCTTGAACAACATGGGGATCAGGGACATCAACCCCTGAAGTTGACAATTTGCATATAACTCTTAACTCCCCCCAAACTTAACTACTAGTCGCCTGCTGTTGAACAGAAAAGGCTTTCCTATGATATAAACAGTTAACACATATCTGTATGTTATATGTATTGTATATGCATTCTTACACTAAAGTAAGCTAGAGAAAAGGAAGTGTTATTAAGAAAATCATAAGGAAAACACATTTACAGTATTTATAGAAAAAAAGTCCACATATAAGTGGACGCACACAGTTCAAACCCATATTGTTCAGGGGCCAAATGTATTTTATGTTTGAAGGAAGTGCAGTGGGGTAGAACTGTGTCATTTTGTGGGGGACCTGCTACCACTGTTTGGGGCGGAAATCTTATGACCAAATTCTGTGAACTTTTTAATGGAATAATGCATATTTCTGGGAAGGTATATGCACTGATAATGTGAATTAGTATTTAACCTCTTGTTCTTTGTTTAACTAGGGTCATTGCTTTCCTGGAAGCTATTGTTTGCATAAAATTTGGACAAGATCTCTTCTCTAAGACACAGATACTCTATGTTGTGCTTTGGCTTCTTTGCGTGGTAAGTCATTACTTTTTTTATCCAAAGGGTTAGCTAAACTCTCCATGGTGTCTCTTTGGGGGAAAAAACACCTCTCTTGTGTACCAAGGTTTCTTAGAAATTCATAGACAGGATATTCTATTTGTAATAACCTAGGAATGGTCACCAGTCCGAAGTTCAAGAATAAGCACACAGAACCATATGGCATGCAGAAGGGTCCCCTTCAGGGGTCCTGGTCAGAAGCCCACTTCTCTGCAGGTGCCTCATACATGCATTCATTTTACTTATAATGGTCATCGTCTACACACGCTGAGCATCCCCGGCTGCCACAAGCGACCAGGGCAGTTACAGTGCCCATAGCATACACATCCATGCAGCCATTGATATATCAAATGCAGTTCATAGGCCATGGGAGATGGTTTGAAGGTAATCTGACAGTGCAGTTTCTGCCCCACCGGCCGGCTCTCTAGGCCACGCCTGGGTGGGGTGAGCGCCCTCTCTTGACGGGCAGTGCGCTGGGCCTGCAGCTCCATCGTCCTCGGACTCTTCCCTCACCTCTAATGGGAGGTGAGAGCTTACCTCGCTGACACATTGTGACTGTCCTTCTTAACATAGGTGTTTTATTATTTTGGAGAAAAAGTCTCATTTTACATTTAAGCTTAGGATTCTTTATTTATTTGGTCTAGAAGATTAATTTGCACTTTCTTTATAATCATTGAAAATTTCTAATATATTTGGAAGTAGAGTAGATGACCCCTCATGTACCCATTATTTATTCAGTTCCAACAATTATCAATTCACAACCAGTTTTGTGTCCTTCTATTTCCTACTCATTATGTCCATCCCAAATTATTTTGAAGCAGATCCACCTATAATATTTCGGGGTGTATCTCTAAAAGAAAAAAAAATGCTTTTTTTGTGTTTTTGTTTTGTTTAATGCAACCACCATATCATTATCACATTTGAAAAAGCATTAACAATAATTCTTTAACGTAATCAAATATCTAATCAAAGTTCGGATTGTTAACATGGTCTTAAATTTTGTATTAGGAAAATGTATTTGAATCAGTACCTGCCCTTTACAGTTGTTGGCCTGCCTCTTAAGTCTCTTTTAATTTATAATCCCTTCTATCTCTGGCTCTCTCACCTTTGCAGTTTACTTGTTGAAGAAACCAGTTCTTTTGTCCTGTAGGTTTTCCCACGGTCTGGATTTTCCTGATTTCATCCTGTATGTAATTGAACAGATTTCTTTGTCCTCTATATTTTCTGTAAATTGGTAGCTGAATCTAGAGGCTTAATCAGATTCAGGGGTTTTTTTGTTTGTTTGTTTTTTTGCAAGACTAAACTTTGTATTTTTATGTGTTTTTTGTTGCCTTTCACGGTTTCTATTTTTAGGGTTACTTGTGAGAAATTCTAACTGTGCCAGGGTACCTGCAGCCGGTTCTGTCCTGTTTTAACTTGAATAACAATGGTTTCCTTTGTACTGAAACTCCAGAGTTCGCACTCTGTCCCATTGAGCCTCGGTGCAGGGATTGGTTAGGAGAGTGTGCAGATGTGCGTGGAGATTGTAACAAGTGCTGTGACCTCAGGTGTGTGGACTGCGGTGTGACTGACTGACCTCACCTGGTGCCAGAGGGGACACAGAGAAGTGGAGGCAGGGGCACTCCTGGGACGTGGGCAGGTGTCCAGCCAACCGGGCACAGTTCCCCCACCTCCTCAGCCCCCACTGCATCAGTGGCCTCACGACCATGCCCAGGAAGCCCGCTCTGGTCACCCCACCTTCAGGGACCCCATCCGTCTCTCTTTAAGTTGTAGAGACTTTCTCTCTGTTTTACTTACTTGATACTTCACATAGGCCTCCTTATGTTGGTGATTTGGGATTTGCATTGGTGTCTGTGACTGTGACCTTATTAAGGACATGAAGCACTTCTGGTCCTCCCATCGATCTCTCCCTCACTTAGCAGGGTCCCTGCGTGTTCGTGATTCCTTCACACCTCGAGTGCTCGTCAGCGCTGCACCTGGTGCGGGACGCCCACAGATAGATGATGGGGTGAGACATTAGTGCTTACCCTGTGCAGACACCGTTCTCAGCCCTTCTCGTGAACTGCACAGCTCTTCACGTTGAGGGGAGGCACTCTGTTGGCCCCCTTTTGTTGATGAATGAATAAAGGCGCAGGGAGGTTCATCACTTGCCCAGTCACACACAGGGTAAGTGGCAGAAGGTGCCCCTCCAAGGGTCTCCACATCTGGACGGGAATTATATGTACAAAGGAGTAATGTTAACGTGTGCTAAGTCCCAGAGCTGAAGGAGCACTGGAGAGAGCACGTATGAGGTGGGGAGTTGGCCAGGCTCCCAGGAGTTAATAAGTGAGGGGTCCCCATGAACAGCTCTCCCATCCCTTGGGTGCCCCACTCCTCCCCTCTGTCACTCTCTACTCATCAGGTCACCAGGTTCTAGTCATTCAACCATGTGGCCCAGCTCCACCCTCCTCTTCCCACTGCCTGTGTAGCCGTCTACACACCCATGCTCTCTCCATCCTGCCCTTCAGATCCATCCTCTACACCGCCCCACCGAGCGATCTTCCAGAATTCAGGTCTCAATCCCTTTCCCTGCTCGGAGTCGTTCCCTGTTGTTGGGGGGTTGAGAGGCCCAATCATACAATATATCCTCCCCCCAGAATGATGAGGAGAGAGTGGGACGAGGATCTGCAGATCAGAGGAGCATCATTGATCAGCTGCCTCCTGCCCGTCTCCAACAACCTCCTGGTTTATAGGTCAACACTAAACCACTGAACCCACCAGCTGGACTCAGGGCCTTTTTTAAAGACCGAGATTGATCTCAAACTCAGGAGTGAGGTGAACATGACTCAGGAAAGGAATATGAAGTTATCACACCAGGCCTCCCACATGACTCCGAGGAGCGAAGCCCCTCCTATTCCCCTTGCTGGGTAAGAACATACCAGGACGTTAGGTTAGCGATTAGGGGGAGAGAAGATCGCCTGCTGGCTCAGAGCGCCCCCGCAGCGGGTGTCTGTCTCATCAGTGTTGGTGAGCTGGGACAAGGTGAGCTGGGACATGGTGAGCTGGGACCTGCCTTGTCCTGACCTGGAGGCCAGCCGGGTTTGACACCCTCAGTGCCGCCACAGCCTTGGCTCTCGTCCCGCATGTTTTTCTTCTCTTTCTTATTTTATTTCCTTTCTTTAAACAAAATCTGTACAATTGCTGTTTTAAATTTAGGCCTTGACATTTTAAGTGGGTACTTGCCTAGATTTCCACAGGTGTGATTGCAAACCCCAAATTACAAGCTTTTGTCTCCTGGGAAGGTGTGAAGCGGGCCTTTGTACCCGGTGAAGTGGTAGGTTGGCAGCCACAGTGGGCTCTTTGTGTGGTGACTGCTGATAAGCTCACCTCCCGCCCACTCGGCCTGCCCCTGCAGAGCTGTCTGCTGAGCTGCCCTCCCAGAGGTGGGGGTGGGGGTGGGGCTGGGGACTGAAGCAGAAGAGCCTCTCGCACCTGCCCTCTGGTGGACAAAATTCGAAGTGACAGCGCAGCCCTCACTTCCCACTGGCCTAGTGGAGTGACCTTTCTCTGGCCCGCCTCCCCACCAGCACAGCAAGCAACCGACTGGTCTGGGGAGGAAGGCCCCCCCTTCCTCACTCCCCCCCCCCCCCCGAGAAGGGAGAGGCCAGGCATGGCCAATTTTCCCCCGAGGGGAGGGGCGTTCGCACATACATAGGCCAATACACTGCAAATCCTCTGGTCTCTCCCACTCTTTGCAAACCTTGAAGGTGGTCCATTCAGTGGGTGGTGTATGTTAGAAATCTGAGCATGTACTCGCATATGGTAAAGATGAGAAGAAGTTTTTCTTTTATAATTTTAATACATTCATTCATTGCCTAATTTTTTGATGGGGGAATCTGAGCCTTTTTTCTTTACGTCTCAAATCTATAGGTGGATGCCAGCTTGCATGTGGATTTAGTGTAAATGGACTGATGTCCTGTGTGTGTCATGTTCCCTCCACCAGGCTGCTCTTCCCACTTCCCTGATCCGGGGAGAGGCCAGTCGGGCTCTTCTTTTCTCACAGACGCGTAGTAAATGTTGGTAACTTACAGGAGCCGGGCCGGAGCTAAGCTACCAGCTGCCGGGCAGATTTCCCAGCCCTGCCTCCCGCACTGGCTCCTCCCTCCCGACTGGGCAGGACGGATGCTGTGGCTGTTGGCCGTTCCTATGGTCTTTCCGTTCTGGGGCTGGATGAGTGGAGGGATGAGTGGGGAGAGATGTGAAGATGTGAGGCATGAAGCCCTCTTTATCCCGACAGCCATCCCTGCACCGGGATGGGGGTAACCGTAGGCCTGTGCTCTGGCTCCAGTTCCACCACACACTAGCTGTGTGTCCTCCTCAGGGCCACGTTCATTCCTCTTTTGTGAAAGGAGGAGACTTAAAATTAATGACCTGTGGGGTGACCCTTACAGATCTAAAGTTATGATTCTTAGGAAGAACGGAAAGGACTCCTCAAGAAGCGAAGGCTCCCCCATGATGCCACACCTGTTCCCACGCTGGTCCGAGGCGCTAGGTCCTCAGCAGGAAGGAGGGGTTAGGCAGGAGGCGGGCGGCGAGAGCGGTGCCTGAAGCTAGGCTTTCTGTCTGAAGAAGTAGTGGGAGTGCGCAGGCTGATCCACCTGCTGTCAGGGGGCGCCTGCAGGTGCTGAAGGGTCTGGCCGGGCTCACCTGTCCTCACTCTCCAGGCACACACCCCCTCTCCCCACCACCACTCAGGCTAGGCGGCCAGGAGCTTTCCCGGCTCTGTTTTGTGGCCATTTTTAGACTCTGGGTTCCTGTAGAAGCTGTTCTTCCCTTCAGTTAGGACAGTGGTCGGGCAAACTCATTAGTCAACAGAGCCAAATATCAACAGTACAACGATTGAAAATTTCTTTTTGAGAGCCAAAAATTTTTTAAACTTAAACTATATAGGTAGGTACATTGTTATTAACTTAATTTAGGGTACTCCTAAGCTGGCCTTTGCTAAAAACGTCCTCCAATCTGAGGTACGTTCGCTGAGGTCGACCCTTTTCCAACCACTAACCACTGCACATCAGACTGCTGACTGACTGGCTCACTCAACTCGTGCAATGAATCGCCCGCCTCCCCTGCTCTGCGTATCCCGGCGGCCGGCCCGCTGCGCCCGACCGACCCACACCCCCCACTTCTTCTAACGCCACTTCTTCAAAATAGACTCGCCCAGGCTGAAAACCGACTTCTGCACATGGGCCACAAAGTTTCAATCGCACTGTACGTGTGTGCCCGCAATGTGGTATTTTGTGGAAGAGCCACACTCAAGGGGCCAAAGAGCCGCATGTGGCTCAGGAGCCGAGGTTTGCTGACCAATGAGTTAGGGTATAATGGAGAGTGTGGTGCAGGGAGCGTGGGGATGCTGGGGAAGTAGGGTGTCAGTTTTCCCTGCCTCGTCCCCATGGACCACTCCCTTCTCACCTCACTGAGGAGTGTACAGGGCATTTTTAGTTCCTCTTGACTTGCCTGTCTACCCAAGCAGCAAAATCAACAGCCACCAGAACCAGGGTCCGCGTGGGCCACCGAGGCTAAGCAGCACCAGAAGGCTGTGCAGAGCCGGGCAGCAGCGTCCTGCGTGCTCCGTCCCCAACACGGGGGCTGTTGGTCCCGGATGCCCTCCAGACTGGGGCCCAGACAACGAAGCTGCCCTTTGTGCAGAAGTCCTCTTCCCCTGGGACGGCGACAGACGGATCCTACATCTCCCCCCGGGGTGGAGGGGACAGGGTGGCCTGTGGCGAACCCTGTGTCTCTTGAGCAGAACCGCGGTCGCTCAGAAGCGCCTCCCGCTTATCCTGCGTCCAAACACGGCTTGCGTTCTGCTAGTGCAGCCACCATTCGGAGCTGCTCGCGAAACTTCTTGGCAAAAGCCTCCACGATGCTCCCAGCTCCTCTGCGGGCTCATCTCACCCCATCCCAGGGGAGGTGGCCGGAGCGCGTCCAACCGCCTTGTGTGAATTCCCGTGGACACCCGAGTTCTGGGGCGTGGGGTTTGTGCCACAACGTCAGTGAAATGTGCTGTTTCCCTTGCAGGCTTTCACCACCTTCCTGTGTCTGTACGGCATGGTGTGGTACGCGGAGCACTGCGGTCACCGGGGAAAGGTACGGCGGGGAGAGGCCCGTGGTCACCGTGGTCAGGGCAGCTGAGCGTAGCCCAGCACGGGCTCCTGGGGGGACATGCTGCGGCCTCACCCTGTAGAAACTGAACCAGTTAAAAAAGAAAGAAGTGAAACTGAACCAGCCCAGCATTCACTCCCTATCGGTGGCTGTCTGTGCTTGTCACTCCTTGTTCCATATGTCAGAGTATTTATCCTCCTTTTGGGAGAGGTTTAGAACTTAGTTGTTTGTTAAAGCGCGTGGGGAGGGCCTGGATCACTTTGGCGAAGGCTGCCTCTTATTCCCAGCCCTTCCACTTTGTCCGGGTCTCTTCCGGTGCCCCAGCCTGGGATTCTCCTTGACAAACGCCTGCCTGCCCACCTGAGTAGACACGAGGATTAACGAGAGAGTGGATGTGTGCGGGCTTAAAGCGCTATAGCAGTCTTGTCCACTGTAATCTTTTAAAAAGTAACATCTTCGCCCTTTATTCATACCTTGAGTCTAAGGAACTAAAGGTACTTTCTAGAAGCGCATTCTGCATCACCTGGGAGAGGACCTTGGCTTCATAGCTGAGACATAGAAGCGTGAGGAGGTCCTGGCATGGGGTGGCGGTGACCCGAGCCACTAGGGGGAGGGCAGAGCCTGTCGCTTGCTTGCCCGCCACATCCTCCCAGGGAGGACTCCAGATTCCTCACTAAACCCGCCCGCCTCTCTCCCCAGACCTTCTCCGAGTGTGAAGACGGCAACTACAGCCCAGATATTTCCTGGCCTCACGGGAAAGGGACAAAAGGTATCTCTTCTTTGCTCACTGTTTAAACTTTACTGGCTCCTGCCCTTCCCAAGGCCCAGTGAGGAGACTGAGAGTCAGTATCTCGCTTCTGCCTGTTGATAAACGTGTGCCCTGAAGGGTCTCAAGCGTACTCATCGCGTGCCTCCCCTTCCTTCTAAGAAAACATGCCACGTGCTCGCAGGATCTGCCCAGGAAACTTGCTTAAGAAGAGGCGCCGCTAGTTCTGCCTCTTCTGAGATAGGCAGACGTCACCAGGCCCGCACAGCTCCAGCTTCCCGCCAGGAGTGTTCTTACCCGGGCTTGGTCCTGAGTGAGAGGGTCAGGAAGGACCGTGTGCCGGGAGGAAAGCCTTTCCGAAGGGGTAGGTGGATGGACCCATTTATCCCAGAGGCAGGCCAGCGGGAGAGGGATTTCAGTGGTGAAGTCAGGGATCTCCTGCTGGCCTCTCTCCAAGGAGCGTTTGGGGAAGATTTGGGGCCACCTGGTTATTTTAAAGAATTAGGGACATGAAGTAATGACACTGAGGACGCTCCACTAGATCCAGTTCCTATGAGCCACTGGGAGGCCTGACTGAGGAGAGAATGAAGTCAGAGGCCGAGTTTCAGCTCCGAGAACGGCCCAGAATGCAGTGGGCCGGGAGAGGAAGCGCAGTGTCCTGG